GTACAGATGCAAACATTTTGGTCTTTGTTGTTCCTCATCAATTTGTCAGAAGTGAGTTTTCTTTTTTCTTTCTTTGTCCACTCTGCTGACGTATGCCTACGTTGCTGTTTAGACTTATGCCGGCAGCTTGTTGGAAAAATCGGCAGCGACGTGCACGCTGTCTCGCTCATCAAGGTAAAGTTATTTTGATATTTTGATATTGTTTACACGTGTTTCAATGACTTTGGTTTTGCATGAATATTTTATCCTCCTTGGGCGGGATTTTGAACTTTTTACACATTTTCAAAACTTGTTTTGGTTTCTGTTGGGATTAATCTGTTTATCATTACTTTTATTTTGGAGATGGAAATAACATTTGCTTTTTGCTAATTTCTCTCTAATCTTGTTAGCTTATGGCCTATTTTTTGTTCAGGGTATTGCGGCAATTCCAGATCCACGCGAGGAGGTGAATTAAGAAAACAGAACAGGCTTTTTGAATGACTTTTGATTGTTTTTTGAAATTATAGCAAGGGATTTGACCATTGGTAGAACTGGAATGCTCACAGCAATTACAGGTTTCAAAAAGTAGATAGGCTCTTACCAACAAAGCTGAACTTCTTAGTATTTACTTTTGGTGTACTTGAAACTTACTTTATACTTCCGCTGTGAGGTTTCTGGTTCTTTTGGGATTCTGGTTCTTTTCAATACTTTTTGCTCTTTTCTAGCCAATTCACTATTGAAGCCATAAAGGCTTGTTGCAAAGTACTTAGAAATTGGTTTCCCACTGTATCTGAATCCCATTCAGATCCCTTGCGTGATTGTGTTTGCCTTAACATTCTGATCGATTTGATGTGACTGCACTTCTTTTACTAAAAAATGATGATAGAGTTTGTCGTATTTGATTCTCAGGTTTGTTCACTTACAAAGTATTCATGTAATGGCAACTAGTTTCTTGGCGGGAAGGACTAAGCAAAGCGGACGTACTTTTTCGCCAACATATGCAAGCTTATGAATTTGCGCAGTCACATCTTTCAATCGGAATTATGGCAAGTATACTGATGCTCTCTATCCTCCTTGTGACACATTTTGCAGGGATGATAAAGGCGTGAATTCAGAATTTCCCACCATTATAAGTTCTCCTCAGTTTCACGTGGGCCATTTAGAGTTGCTATCTGATGCTGAGAAGAAACATGTTTCAGAATCAGCATAGAGCATTCATTCCCGTTGATAAACTCCTATTTTTAGGGCTTGTCCGCTCCAAGCTCACAAAAGACGGGTGGTGTGAAGCTGATCTCGGAAGACATCCAAGAAATTTTGAAGATCGACGTCAGTGTATTGATGGGAGCAAATTTGGCCCATGAAGTGGCTAATGACG